TGGCACCTCTCCTTGTTGGTTCCTCTATTTCCTATATACATTGTTTATAAAGAGTCAACATAAGCTTTACATAGAGTCATTTAAACATGATTACTCAGATTTCTCAATAAAAAGTGATTGTACAATTGTCTGACGGTTGTCTTCATTTATACATGTAAGTTCTAAATTAATATTTACAAGGGAGAAACTTATTATAAATATATTCAAAATATGACAAATTGTTGTAAACCAATATAGTATAAATTATCATATAATATAAAAGTAATTGTCAAGTTTACCTTGGTTTCCAAGTTTACTAATAGTATTTTGTCATTTTGAAAATGTTTGGTATTATTTTTCTGTCTTGCAGAAATACATTGGAACACCATTGCTCAACTCTGAACAAGGCAGTCTCACTGTTTCCTTTTATTAGACGTGAACTAGACAGTATTAAAGAAGTCATCTCCAGTAATCTGGAGAACTGGTCTGCCATGAAAGAAGAAATCTTTCTGCAAATAAAAACAGTTAGCAAAGAAGCTTTGACAGGTAAATCATCTTGCAATAATTTTGGGTCAGATTAAGTATTTTTTGGTAGTCGAGTGTAACAGAGTAAATTAGAAGGTAAAATTAATTAGATAATTTCTAATTCTGATGTTAACTTGTCCAGATCCAAAGTAATGGAAGACCCCATCTGCTGCTGTGGCACCACGTGAGGTGCGTTGTACTCAGTCCAGTTCTTGTTGGATTAGTGTGCTGGACCAGTTGTTCAGTTCTGACCCAAGTCAGACTGACACTGAAGTAATATTAATACTTGCCATGATTTGAAACATAAGTAATATACTTACTCTGAGTATATAGATGTGATTGCAACAGAAAGACTTGGAGATATTTGAATTTGCCCTATGTCTTCTATTGCCAGTTTTTTGCACATGCTCACATATACATATGATGCTATATGACGGCAGTATAATATCATTTTGCGGAGTTGCTTGAGGGTCCTGCGATACTGTCACCCTGCTGTATGGGTAGGCTGCACCTCTTCCATTGACCAGCCCACTGATGTACACATCGGGTTGCCTTGAATACATGAGCCACTGTATATGAACAAACCTGCACCCAACATGTAGCAACTGCTCCCTCCTTCCATTTCTGAATAAGAACAAGTAATACCCAAATAGAGCTGTCTTTATCTGAGGGGTCTTTGGGATTGAAGGGGGTATGGAGGAGCAGCCCGTGGGCTGAGAATAATTCACTTGGCCCACACACTGCTTCCTGCTCAAACAAGGGCAGTCTTCAGCAAAAGAGAAGCTGAGTGCAAGTCACAACTGACGGCTTGTTCCTGAAGGTCATGCCTAGCCCTCAGGCTGGCGGTCATACTTGAAAACTCAGATTCATCCTTAAATACCATTTTTGCTCTGCCTCAGTTAAGAGATGAGAATTGCTGAAAAAGTGTGCAGTAGTGTAATTAGAGACTCTAACATCCAGCACATCCAAACAGGTCCTGTGCTGACTTCTGCAACTTTAATGGCCTTTAGACCTAATTTTCATCTGTGTATTCCCTACCTTAAAGTTTTTCGGTGTGTATGAATTGATGAGCTGCTATTTGCTGTGGAGGTTAGTTTTATCAGGGTTATAAGATAATGAAGGAGTGGGTGAGCTGATATCATGTTTTCTGTCCTTGTGAGAGGGAATATAAGGGCAAAGTGAGTGATGTGCATCTCCCAAATCACTCTGCTAGTGAAACCGCATTAACTCCCATGCAAATTCACAGTTTAAGTGAAACTTGCATGTGCGGAGTATCTCAGAAAATGTGTAGCTTCAGTTTAAATAATAGCTCCCCAGTAGCCTATGCTTCCTGTGAGATTAGAAGTAATTTTTGATGTTTTCAATGATTGCTTTGTTCAGACTGGGAAGAAGTAAGTGGGGCAGCTGTGCCGCAGTAGCGAGTAGGCACGCATCCCACTGAGACCGCGCTGAGTCCGAACAGAGAGGTCAGGGTGTCCTGAGCCCAGAAGGCAGGGCTGTTGCCTGCTGAAGATGAGCGTGGACAGAAAATAATTTTTTTAGTATTCAGTTTTTGTAAGAAGAATTAATTTAAATGTCAGAGTCAATATTGCATATTTTGATTCATGACTTCATCTCCTAATTAGGCTGAGCACAGGAAGTATTGTATGTGCCTAAGGATTCCTCTCTTCCTGTGCTCATTCTCTGGCTACTTCTAGCTGATAAAGGGAATATGAACATGTGTTTCTGCAGGCATTTTCAGGTTCAAAGAGATTCATAACATCTTAAGGCTTCTTTTCTGGAGTATTCCTTGTTTAACTTGTTGTAATGCTGCAAATAGATAGAATATCTGTATAGAAGCAGAAGTGCAGTCTTTCAGGTTCTTCAGGGATTATATATACCATACATGCTCTGTATCCCCAGCTGCATTCAACATATCCTAAACATATCCTATTGAGGATAATGCCATGCTGTGAGTATTATAATCCTCAAATCTAAGGATTTAAGGTTAAATCTAGCTTTCTAAATAAAAAAAAAAAAATTGTAACTTTTTTTTTGCCTGTGAGTGCCATTTGAAAGTTTTTATGTTCTATTTTGTGTGTTGCTCATTATTAACATATGGTAACATATTAACATATAGTAAATTTTTGTGTATTGTACCTTAGTCTTTCTGCAACAAGCTTTTCAGAACTTTTCCATTCAGATTTTGAGGAGAAAAACACTACATGAGGTGCTACTCTTTATACCTAGACCAGTTTGGTTAGTTTGAAGACAGCTTATAAAAACTCTTGTATATGTACATTATTTAACCTTGATTAATTAATGGCAAGCAGAAAGAAGTATAAGAAAATCTTTTGGTATTTACATCATTTAGTCTAACAATAAATCAATTTAAGTATGGAGTTGTTGGGAAAGACTGTTAGATAATGAAAATATTTGCAAGACAAAGAACTTAAAAGTTGCATGTGGGCAGCATATAAAACGTAATAGCTGACTTGACAATAGAATTAGGCTTAATCTAACTGGAATATTGTTAATGTAAATAAGAGTGACATAAGTTCTTTGGACAATTGAACATTTAGGGCTGTAGTTGGAGAAGGCATAGAAAAGAATTGCAATTACTTTTGAAAATGTTCAAATGTACGCATTGAGGATAACTGAATTCAGGAAAAAACATGAAAATATAGGAGACCTACTATACCTCACCCACAATTTAGTTGTTTACCTCACAGTAAAAACCTGCCAGGAAACTTCCTTGGGACTGCTGCTCTCCCTCGCTGAAGAGTTGATGAAAGAAAAATAGAGACAAAACCTGTATTTTATATAATAAAGATACACTTTGTGATTACTTTAACAGCAGTAGTCATCTAAGGAGTGAGAAAATAAAATGTAATACACATGCCCAAACATCATCTGAACCAGAAGTTTCAAACTGAGCTTTAGCAGAGGCTAACCCCCTTGGTATCTTTTCAAATTCATTTCAATGAGTCTGCAATTGGTTTTGTATGTTGACAATGGTCTGTGTATCTTCCGAAGATAGAAGGCTTGAATCCAAGTATTTCTGTCACCTGTTGTTATCTCATGTAGAATATATACATGTATTTTAATTTGGTTTTGAGATCTTAGAAGAAATACATATTATTGCTTAGAATAAAATTTGTATTATTTGTCAATAATATGTGTTTGGCTAAGTAGAAGTTACCTATGTAAAGAGGTATTGCACAAAGCCCTTCTTTTGGCACTCTATATTCTCAGCAGAAGCATTGATCCTTACCCAGTCTCTGATTACAGGATGCTGAAGTCCTAAAGTTGTAAATCAGGTGTAATACTTATTAGTGAAGAAGGTACATTTGACAACAGCCTATATGATTTTTTTTTTTTTTCTCCTCAGAAATACCCAAATTGAATCAAAGATTAGCAAAGTCCCAGAGAGAGAATGAGTGCCTCCAAGAAAAGGTAAAACATCTGACAGTGGTGGCTGACACAGTTGAGCTGAAAAGTCAACAGCTTCAAACTTCACTTCAGCAAGAGAATGAGCTACAAATTAGATGCCGTGAACTACAAAAGGAAACATTAGGTAAGAGAATTTTGACGTTTCAAGCAAAGTTCCAAGTAAAATGAAATTTAAAACATGTTTTTAAAAACACCGAAGTTGTGGCTGTTACTGTGAAAGCACTCAACAGCCCAGTGCAGGCCCTAATAAAATGTGGGTGTTGTGCAGTCAGACAGGCAGTATGTCTTTCTGAGGAGCCTGTTTCCCTGCTGGGAACACGAGTCAGATGAGTGGGAGGGGGAAAATGAAGGGGGGAAAACAGTGAAGATGGTGGTAATGTACTTATGCTGTTAATTGTCAGTCTTATGTAAAACATCAGGGAGAATGCTCTGAGAATAAAACTCATTTTGAGTGGAAGGCCAGGAAGGATTTTTGGTTATCATCAACAGAACTGAAAAGGCACTCAAGCTAAGCCAGTCTCTTTTTCTCATAGATTTATTAAACTTGAGGCTGTGTAATGTTTTGCCCTTGATAGTGTGTCTCAAGAATCTAGAGAATCCTCTTGGGAAACTGTAAGAGCAGTGATAGCACTTGAAATTTTAGTATCTTCAGAGCTCTGTTGAGACAATGACTCATTACAAAAAGATTATTTGTATTAGTATCTCTTGAATCTCTTTTCTATTTAGAGCTGCATTGCATTGATAATGCTGGCTCAGAGACATTTTAAGACCTTGAAAACATAGAGAGGTTGTGATGTTCTGGGCACAGTTTTGAGTCATCACACTGGCACAGCAATTACGATGCTGCCTTATGCACAGTATGTAATGTCAAATTTAAAGCAGTAGGTCTCAGTGCTAGTCATGGTGAAGGAATTTAACTGATCCTTCAATACCGGTGATAATAACAAATGTGAGACCGCAGATACCATCCCATGAGTTATCAACCCGTGTTGCTGAGAACAGTCTTTATTTTTGTCACTGTGTAACAGTACTGTTAAGAAAGTTCCAGTCGCGATGCGTTTGAATGGTAGAAATGAGTACGTAATTCGACATCATTTTCCAGTGTCCATATAAGAAGCAGACTTAATATGTCCTCCGTTTTGTGGTATTTATTAAAAAAAAAGAAACTTTATATGAAAGAAAGTCAGTTACATTTTACTCTGAAAATATTCTAGGGACTATTCACAGCATCCACTTTTGTCTTTTTTTATTCTTGGGGAGCTGCTAAGTGTTCCAGCATCTCAAAAACTTGCCCATGGCATTTTTCAGTAGGCTCATTGTCTGATTGTAGCTATCTTTTCTTACTTAGTCCTGTGTTCAGAATAACCTCTGGTAGACAAGATTTGGGGATTGCTTTAAAAGTGTTAAGCTGTCAGTCATTAGCTGTACTATCTCTTTCTGAAGACCTGAATAAATGGAAAGAAACGCATCAATTCTGTTTAAAAAGGAAATCTAAAGACAATCTTGAAAACACTGTTAGACAGTTGTGAAAATTTTTACCTTTTCATTTGGCTTGTATGTAAAATCTCTAGGAGAGAATTTTAAGAATACATGAAATAAAATGTTGGTAGTACATAAATGGTATCTACTGTGTTGATTGCTTTGCAAGAAAAGTAAATAATTTCAATATTATATTTACATTACATATATATATAGTATGTATTATATATGTGTGTATATATATGTATTACCCAGACAAGTGTCTGGGTAAAAAATAGTAATAAAAAAACCAAAATCCCAAATAAGATCAAGATTACGTTGCTAGAAAAGACAAAACTGAAGGAATTAATTAGTTGCACTGGTTAACTAAATTACATTGCTTGTCCCAGGAGCATAAGTTTTGCCTATGACTCTTCATGTTTTACTTTAAACTTGTTCAGAAAAGATGCTTAAAATGCATCACTTCTTTTCAAAAGACGAGTGTTTCTCCTCCATTAAGGGATTCATGTTTTATCCCAATAATCTGTGTACATGTGTAACTGCCAGATTGACTATTACAATGCCACAGTCCAAAATTTGGAAATTAAATCCTTTGGAATAGTCTGTGTGCTTCGTTTCTCAACTTTTACTTTCTGTCTTTACTTATGCTGAAGTAACCTTAGAGATGGAGCTGAGAGGGTCTTACTGTACTAGAAATTGCTCAAGCAGATAGTATCACTATATAGCCAAGGTGACTGTCTCAAAAACAGCATTAGCACTGCAGATCATGCAATAAAACCTACAGCAATGATTTATTTTGGTTAAGCTTTCCTTTCTCTGCTAGAAGAGTAGCACTTAGAGAAAGAAAGTTCATTTGGTCTTTAGTGTGGTCTTGTACCATGCAAAGCAACTGAAAGGTCACTTGTACAGCAGTCTGGATCTTCTGATAATTGCAGTGATTTCCATGTTACTCAGTTGCCACTGGTACTCTATTCAAAATCCATGCAGCAGCATTTTGGTATGTGTTTCTTACGTGCTTATGTAGTGTGATGTTTTGGTCACTGTGTTGTATTTTCGAAGAAGTAGTGGACATAAAATGCTCATTTTGCCTTAATACTTGGCTTTTTTATTGTGTTCAATATAACCAGACTTTAAACTTTCTTTTCAGGAATATGTTATCTTCTGTCATTGTAGGAATAGACACAAGTAGTGATAAGTCATAAGCAGTTAGATCATTTATTATTTACCTTTCTCTAGAAATCTGAGCTTCTACAACTTTCAAACTGGGTCTACCACATGCCTGCCTTGAGGAAAATATAATTAAATTTTACATGCATTTTCCTTTTAGATGGGAAAATAGTCAAAATAAAATAATCTCAGTGCAAAAATAGCTCCTTCTGTAGTATACTTAGACATTTTGTTTGTGTTGAAAAGTTTTTTAATTTTTTTCCCTGTGAAATAAAAAACTTGTGGGTGACACAAGTTAAATTGCCAGTGCTGGTGTTCAGACTGTTGTTGTTCCTGAAGAACTTTGTAGAATTTCTGGAAGATTTTACTTTTGTAAGGTGCCATGTTCAATATAACTCAGATAATCTTGCACATTACTGAGTTAATTTTTTTTTTTGGTGAGGTGGCTGTATGTGGGCTTGTGAAACTGCCCGTGAATTCATTGGTAGTTCACAGGCATTCTTGGGAGCTGGAATGTTGGCACTTGCTGACATTATAGAAAGTCTAAAGTCCATTTAATTCAGAATCTTGTTCTCACTGCTGAAAAACACAGTGCAGTTCAAAGGAAGGAGCAGGAACTCTAGAAGAGCAATTACAGGATAATTTTTCTTCCTTGTGTGTCTCGCCTTGATAAAAGAGGGCCTTGAGCCTAAGAAAACAATCTTTTTAAGTTTTCAGATATGTGATGTAGTATCATTACATGAGATATTTGTGTTGTTGCAATTATGCTATATAACCCTTTGAATTCCCTTTTTGGTTTTGTAAAGCTGCTTACTTCAGAGGTTCCCGTAAACAATGAGTTAATAGTTTGTTCATATGCATTGTAAAAAATACACTTTCTTTTTCAGTTTTGCCCACCTTTTACTCCATGGAGAATGGAGTAAATTCCAGGAAAAATGTCCATGGCTTTCACAAGGGTGGGATGGCTGGAAAAGTCATTGGATTTTACATTTAAATCTTGCACTGCAAAATATTTGAAAAGGCCATGAGTCTTCTGTTCTCTGGAAAAGGACTTTCTGTTCCATGTTTATGGTTTAAGGAGCTGCATATTATAGTGAAGGGGTCAGATCTCCCTGTGATGGCTGGGTGTTTGGGTCTGCGACATACTGGAGTTAGTGGGTATGCCTCCTTCTGCCTTTGTTTCTTCCATCCTGCCCCTGGGCATGAAAAACACTCACTGACTTTTCTTCCAAACAGCTTTAATGAGACTTGCTTATCACCTGTTAAGCTTGTTGGCTTCTATAGGAAATGACAAAGTAAAGACATACTAATTGGCAACCCAGGTGGTGAGTATCATGTCTCAAGGCTGGAATGTAAACTTACTGTTAACTTTCCAAAATGGCTTCTTTCATCCAGAATACTCCTCTGAGTTAATTTGGGGAGGATGTTTGTGATTCAGCTCTCAGCAGTTACGCTGCCCTTGGAATTCAGCATTAATATGAGCAACAATAGAGTTCTGGTTTTGATAATAGAACAAACTTGGGATTTATTGAACTAAATTATTATTTTTCACTTTGATGTGACATAACTGAAAGCGAAGACATGACTCTTGAAAGAAGCCTAAAATGTTAGAATACTCTGAAAAAGTTTTATCCATGCTTACATCTTTGTTATTTTTTTCCACTGCTGGCATTGGAAGGCCAGCCAAGAGCTACCATCTATTTCTTTTTTTCCTTCTTTTTTCCTTCTTTTTTTTCTTCTTTTTCTTCTTTCTTCTTTCTTCTTTCTTTCTTTTTTCCTTCTTCTTTTTTCTTTTATCTTTTTCTTTTTTCTTTTTTCTTCTTTTTTCTTTTTTCTTCTCTTTCTTTTTTCTTTTTTCTCTTTTTTCTCTTTTTCTTTTTTTCTTTTTTATTTTTTCTTGTACCCACTTCAAGGGAATATTTTGGAAGCTGCTTGTTTATGTTTATAAAGAGGTTTGAAAATTTACAGTGCTCTACAGAGTTACTCCTTCCCTCAAAAAGTCTATGAAGTGGTTATTGTGACTGTGTGGATTCTCAGGCATCTTGTTGGTGTAGTACTTGAGCAGAAGAGTCACCATGATGGCTGCTCATCATGCTGTGCTCTTTGATTTTGATTCACTGTTTACTTACTTTGCATTTGTTGGATTTCTTTTTTAGACTCATATAATAAGATCTGGAAATAGCCAAGATTTTGTGGAGAAACAAATAAAACAGCATATATTGGAATTCATGCATAGTATTAGAACTGCGATATCTTAATGAACAGCTGAAATATCAGCTAAGCAGGTTGATGTTTTGTGTGAGGCATTTTTAAACTTATTTTTATGAATAAAAAAATACAGCAGTTACTTCATAAGAAATCAGTTATTAAGAAGCAGTAAAATGTTTGATGTGGGTATCAAGGAGATTTCAAGGCAGAAAGATGTCTAGCTCAAACATTTTTGTTCTACCTTCCCTGAATAGGTCAGTAAAATATAAA